ACACAACAGCTCCACTTGACTAATACACATCCCAAACTTAACAAGTCAACCCTGGGCTCATAATTTTCCCCCCAAACCCGTTACTCTTACAGTCTTCCCTAGTGAATAATGGACACTTCTATTCTTTTAAAATGTATGTACATGCCTGTCCTTAAAGGTCTCAAGTGTTTCCCCACCTCATTTGGGCGCTCCATGACCTGTCTCTTCTCACTGCTCTGCTATTTCTCTCATACTCTCCCTTGTTCGCTCCATACCAGCCACATTGGTTCTCCTGCCCCACGGGGCCTCTGTATCTGTCATTTCCGATTTCTCTACAGCTCTGTCCCAAATGTCCACATGACTCCCTCTTTTACTTTTTTCAAATATCACCTTGCTGAGGCCTTTCCTGGATACCCAATCTAATATTACAAGCCTGCCTTCCCATCATATACTCCTAGCTACCCATCCCTGCTTTATTACTGACCTTATGTCTTACCATGAGTGCACTGTATACTTTGCTTATTTATTTTGACTGCTATGAAGCTCCTCAACTAGAAATTCTTTTTTTGTTCACTGTTGTATCCCCGGTACCTTGAGCAGTGGTTGGCACAAAGTAGGCTCTCAAAAAAAATTTGTTCAATGCATGAAGGGAATCAGTGATAATAAGAGTTACCTCTTAGGTAGAAAGGTAAGTAGAAAGTAAATGAGATAAGTACTTTGTACATGTTAATGCACAGTAAATGTTAATTATTTACATTTATTTCATATACCCATGTGTATTGTTGGCAATAATTTTTGGTGGCAACTATGTGAAGGGAAGGAGAAATTCTAATTAAAAGGGATGCTATGGAAGTACATGGGTTTGCAAGTTAGCCTCAGGCAAGGTAAATACAGCTGATGGGAACACCCTGGAGTTTGGCCCAGATAACAAGCTCCCAGGCTGGCCTGGGGGGTGAGGGAATGTGGGAGGAAATATGTAGGAGGAAGGCTGGAAATCATCTGAGTGGGTTCATGGGGTCTGTACATAGTCTTCGGGATGGCTCTGGGTGAGACCTCTGGGCTATACTGCTGTGTGCTGATGTCCGTCTTGAGTATCGCTAGCAGTGCTCAGCTCCCAGGGTAAGAGACAGGGCTTACAGTATCTGTCTGTCTCTAGGACTTGATGTACACACCCTAAAGCAACAAAGAACTCCAAGTCCAGGGAAATGAATTGCTGCATATGTTCATATACTCTTTAATAGGATGCTTTGGTATTCAAAATACAAATCATTATGTTGGGTAACAGCATCATAGTGCCTCTATCATACTGCTTTTTGCCTAACACATAGTGATGTTACATGTGTTTTCATAGGTTGAAGCAAAAATGAAGTTCCTACATCTAAAGGGTCATTATCATGGATGAAACATATCTTAAAATGAAAAAATACAACTTTAAAAAGGCACTCTTAATTCTTCAAGCTATAAAGAATGCATAATTCTCTAAAGCTTTTGTATCCAGATATAGCTATTTGATTAATGGGTATAGACAGAGTTGAATAGAACTCTTTTGTAAATCATGTCATCTTTGAATTTTATAACTCATATGTGATTTACATGGATTTCCCTGAGTTTACTAATTGGCTTCCTACATTCTCATTAAACAGTCCTGGCAACAGAGGCAAAGAAGCTGTGTAACTGCTACCTTCCCATTGACAGTGTGAATGCAACCTGGGATATGTAGAGCAAGATACTGTGTCCTGTAACCATGTAACATCACAGAATACTGCCCAAACCTTTCCCAATTTCAGAGAGGACACAGTAGCAACGTCTTTAGTACATGCCTCAGCATTTCTCTACAATTTGGAATTCGTTTCCCATGAGAATTTCAACTCTGCTTGTTACACTAGTGCAGAGCCTCTGGTGTGGCTGAGAGCCTCTGATTGCACTCTTTCAAAGTGGGGACCTTAGACTCTTTATACTAGAGTATGGGATGTGCATGTGTATATGCACGCATAGATATGCAAGTATGTATAAATACATACATATGCTGTGTATGTACATATTATAAGAAAAAAAATAAGCAGAAAATGACAGATCCTGACAGAAAAGAAGTGAGGAAAGGGATGAAAATGAAGTGGAAGGGAATTAGCATTTATTAAGCTTCTGCTACGAGGCCAGGCACCCAAAAAAGAAGGCAGTGTGGGGAACAAAGATGGGGATATGCAGTTACCTAGATGCTAAGGAAAGAATTGTAAAATTATCTTCCTTAAAGGAGAGTGATATAAAAATGAATGCTGGCAACCTGTCAGGGAGGGCTTGTCAAGCCATTCAGAGGGAGAACAGAAGGCTATGGGCACTGATTTTGGCTTTGTCTCCCCTAGATGCTGGGCTGCTGTCTTGCCATGAGATGAGTTATCTTTGAAGTTCTGCTGAGCAGTCTAGATAGAACGACTTAAAAGTGCAAGTCCCTAAACAGGGTTCAGCTTCCCAGCATACAAATATGCTCAGAGAACCAAAAGAGGTTAGGAAAAAAACAGCCCAAGACATTTCCCTTTAAGCCCTAGGAAAAGCTAGTAGTATTCAAAATTAAAGGGATTCTGAAAGACTATATGTTGGAGGTTTCTGGATATTGGTATCAGTTTTTTGTTTAGGGGGCTTTTTTCTTTTGTTTCACTCAGGGGGTCTCAAGATTTCTGTAATTGCATCTTGTGATTCCTCTGAGGAATTTGAGGTGATGGGCAGAGGGGAAGGGTGACCTTGCAGAGTCCCTGGGCAGGTAGAGGTAGAGTCAAGCTTGGGATGCGACAAAGACAGAGGGATGAAAGTGATAGCTCATTCTGGAGAGCTTCAAAGTAAGCCCTCAGGAAATCCTGTTTAGGAATTTCTGGCCAATTACAGGTTTTGCTTTGGTTGCTTTTGCTTTCTCTACTCCCACTGCCCTAATATCACATCAGATGTCTTCAGCATCACCATGTTTATTACAAGAGACCTCTCTACCTCCACTTGCATTTTGGGCTAGATTGCATCATTCAGTCCAATTCTCCATCATTGCCTATGTCCACATTCTTTGCCACATAACTTTGCAGTGCTCTCCCACTGTGGTCAGGGATTGGCTTGGCCTCTGTACTCTGGACTGTGCCATATAATTTTCCTTGGCCAATGAGATATTTAGAAGATATGATACAAGCACAGTATGGAAATGGACTTTCTTCAACACTGGGGCTTGCTCTTCTATCAGGAGAAGAATGACAAACATGTGGCACTAGCAAAGCCTACCAGTCAAGCCTACTTTAGAATAGAGCCCCCAACAAACCAACAGACATATACATAAGCTCAGCTGGTACGAGCAGATGCACCCAGTCCAACCCCGATCAAAATGGCTAAAGCTTGCAGGTGTGTGATCAATAAATGATTACTGTTGGATGACCCTAGGGTTTTGTGGTTGTTACACAGCAAAAGCTAACTGATACAAGTGCTGTTTGGTCCATGTTCTTCATGTCTGCCAGAGTCATATTCCTAAAATGGAACTACAATGATCTTAAAATTATTTTGCCTAGGACCCTTCAACGACTTCTTGTTATGGGCTGAACTGTGTTCCTCCAAAATTCATATGTTGAAGTCCTAAACCCCAGTAGCTCAAAATGTGACTGTATTTGGAAATGGAGTCATTGAAAATGTAATCAGCTAAGATGAGGTCATACCAGAGTATGGTAGGCGCCTAACTCAATATGACCTGTGTCCTTATAAAAGAGGAAATTTGGTGGTAGACATGCACGAAGGGAGAATGCTATGTGAACACGAAGGCAGAGATTGGGGTGGATATGTCTAGAAGCCAAAGAACATTAAAGATTCCAGAAATCTTCTAGAGGTTAAGAGAAAGAGAGAGAGAGAGAACATATTCTCCTCCACAGCCCTCAAAAGGAGTTATCCTGCTGATACCTTGATCTCAGACTCTGGTCTCTAGAACTGCGAGACAATACATTCCTGTTATGTAAGCCACTCCCCATTACTTATAGGTTATAGTCTAAAGTCCTTCGCAAGATACATAAGCCCTTTCATGAGTCTGTCTCTGATTTCACTGTATCCCACTTGCTTCAGCCTTGCCCCATTCACAAGCCATGCTGAACTATTTACAGAGCTTCCACTGGCTGCTCAAGAGACATTGTCCATGCTGATCCCTTGGCCTCAAATGCCCTTGTGGCTACCTTCTACCTTCTAGTAGACCCCAGATCTTTACCTAGGTAACTTCTATTTATATTTCAAGCTCCAGGTTGGGCATCATCTCTGGAAACTTTCTCCTGACTTTCTCAATCCTAACTGTAGGGTGATGTCCTACTAAAGCTCCTTATGGACACTATAGAGATATTTCTATGACAGCAGTTATAAAACTGTGGCAAGTTGTTAGCTACACATCTGTGTCCTCATCAACAGTCTTGATAATGAACCTCTTGAAGCCAGGGTCATAAACTATCTGTTCTTGTATTCCTAGTAGCTAGCATGGTGCTTGGCACAGAGTGGCTGTGCAGCAAATGTCTGTGGAAAGACTATGTGTGTGTTTATGTGGAAATATCCAAACAGATGCGTTCTTGGCATAGGGAGATATATTCTGCTTGTGTGACAACTGGCAGTTGAGTTTGCTTGGCATCAAAAGCACCCAGTTAAAGACCAAACCTCACTTCTTTCTTTTTCTTCATTTCCTTCTTTCTCTATAACTATCCAATCTCACATGCTTTATAAAGCTTTTAGATGTAAGTGACTGTGAATTATTATCAACTGTATGCCTTTCATCTTTAAGACTGACAGTCTAAGTTCAACATCTCTCAGGAGGGAGAACTATTATAACTATATTTTTGCTTACCAAGAGAATTGTTAATGGTTATCCTGGAGGGAAAAAAAATCTATAAATATCAAACTCGTAAAGAAGCCTTAAGCTTACATTCTTCCTTTACTAATGAAATTCTTTCTGACGATACTGCCAGAATTGCTACGTAACCATTTCACTGAGAAAAGAGACCGAGTCTGTAGTAAATTTTTTCTTTTACCTGTTTAGTTCTTATTTTGGAATCCGAAGACAGATTGTTGTAGGTATAATGTGCTTGTGTGACTCCACAGAAGAGAACAGCAACTATTCCTGAAATTAAAAAACAGATCAGTCAAAACCAATTCTATTTTCCATCCAAGTCAAAGGGTAGGGCTATTCCCGCTGGAAAATAGACTTGGTGTCAGTAGAGTTAAAACTGCTAGTAGTTACCATGATAATGAAACCTAGGTAGATCTTGCTACTTGCTTTAAACAGGGTTTAAACAGGGTCTTGAAGGATTAAACCTAAAGAAAAACATTAAGAAGTAGATTCTTCCTGGAGATAAACGGGTTCCTGTTCATGAGCTAGAAAAATTTTATTTGAAAACATGAACAAAAGACTGCATAGTCAACCCTGGGTTTTTCATAGCCAGTGCCAACTACATTGCTGGATTTTATACTAAATACTGGCTTATTTTCTGAAAGATATTTGCTTTCCACTGTATAATTTGGGTAGCCTGAAGAGGTTCCTGTCATACCATAATTTAGTATTAAAAGTGACGAGTGACAAACCTAAGACATCTACAAGGGTTTTGCTGCCCCTGCCAATGCTCCTACTTGCCAAGCAAGAGAGAGGAGACCTTGTTTGTTCCTGTGCCTCTTTGGAAAGGCTAGGTGCTCTGTCCTGCTGCCGAACATACCCAAGGCATTCACTCCTTGAAAGTAAACTGGTCTGTTCTTGTGTGATTCCTACCAACAGTGGACCTTTAGTTGCTTCTTGGCATCTGCAGGGTTTATTTCTTAAACCATATATCAGCTTTAAATGTGACATGAAGTCACATATACACTAGATGCTTTCTGGAGACAGAGGAATAGAGACCCTGAGACCGATGTGCTATCTGTCCCCAGGCTCTGTTATTCTCTGTGTTATTGTCCCTGGGCTGGAGTGGGGAAGCAGTGGGAGTTTGCACTGTACTTTGGATTAAAGATTAGCTCAATTATGGGAAATTGGGCATAGAGGAGGGCTTTGGGAAAAATGCAAGATATAAGTATTCTTCGACTCAGACCAAGGGGATTGAACTGAATTTTAAGCAGCAAAATCTTTCCAACTAAAAACACTCATAAATTAAATGCTGATGATTCTTTAGAATATAGAGATATGTGAACTGAATACTGACATTTCAAGTGAATCTGCAGCAAAGAATTTTAAAGAACTGAGCTTTTAAAAAAATACGTAGACTGTATGCTTCCACTTACATGTTGGTTATTTTTCAGGTGAGCACTGGATAAAACATTGTTAACACATATTTACATAAGTGTGTAGAATATACATGACTTATTGCCTTTTAACATTATGCTTCAAAATTTTAGACAAAAGAATAAAACAAGTAGGAAATTTTACCATGAAATATCTATTCAGTGGGCAATTCAACAGATTTTTTTGGTAACTTCTCAGTTTCTTAGCATCTCTTCAGAAATTCTAAGGCAAAAATGCTTACAAAATATTTTACTCATCATAGAATTTCTATTTTAAAAAGCAACAAACACCAGGGGAACTTTCAGTACGCTGAAGCCCTAAGTACTTCAAAGCACAAGGAGGATTACCCTGTATACTATTTTGGCATAAATCATTTCTCTTTATTTATTTAAAAATGTGACCTATGTCTGTCTAGTGTGTAGTCTATTAGGGGGTTTTTCTGGGTGAGGTTTTGCTGACCTGTTCACTGTTGTGGAACTGTTTTGACTAGATACTGATCTGTAGAGAAGTAGTGAATAAAAGGGCAGGTGTGTCTGTGTATGGATAGCAAATAAATTCATTGTAAGAACAAGAATAGGTAACAAAGAAGTGTTACAAAGGACAAGGAAGGGACTAAGATTGTCTGAATACCTACTGTGGGCCAAGAACAGTGCTTGTTTCATTTACATCTTCTTGTTTACTGCAGTGAGTTACTATCTCACAACAGGCTCACAATGATTAAGCAGTCTCTCCCACTGCTGCCTTCTTTTTAGTAATAGCATCCATTCTTTCTGCTGCCCAGGGGGAAACTTTGGGACCACCCTAAGTGCACCTCTCACTGCAAATCAGCAATTTTGTTTACTTGTCCTTCAAAATACACCTTGAACCCAAACACTTCTCAACATCTCCATTCCTAGCATCCTTTTCCAAGCCACCATAACTTTTGGCCCATATTACAACAATAGCTTCCTAACTGGTCTCCCTGCCTCCCATGGTAGCCCCTAGCACCCTAGCAATAATGCTTCTTGAAAAACTAGTCAGACCATGTCAGGCCTTTGCTCAAAACTTTGTAATGGATTCCTGTGGCTTAAAAGGTACTGCAAGATCGTTCCTGCCCCTTCCCCACTCCCCACAATTTGCTGACCTCTTCTCTGACCACTCCCCTCCCTCCGCCTTACCTTTCAATATCCTCTCTAAATGTGTTCTGCCAGGGACCCTTGTACTTCCTTCCAGGTTCTACTGTTTGGAAAGCTCTGCAGATATCCACATGGCTCCCTCCTTCCTTCAGATATCTGTTTAGATGTTACATGAACAGACAGGTCTTCTTCATCCACTCTGTACAAATTGTTCACTCTCATCATTCTCTACTTGTTTTATTTTTTTCCTGTATTATATACTGCTACTTGATATTTTATATATTTATGTGTTTATTTTCTGCCTTCCTGTATGATATGGTTTGGCTGTGTCCCCACCCAAATCTCGTCTTGAATTGTAGTTCTCATAATTCCCACATGTTGTGGGAGGGACCTGGTGGGAGATAACTGAATCATGGGGGCAGCTCCCCCATACTGTTCTCTTGGTAGTGAATAAGTCTCACGAGATCTGATGATTTTATAACGGGTTTCCCCTTTCACTTGGCTCTCATTTCTCTCTTGTCTACTGCCATGTAAGGTGTGCCTTTCACCTTCCACCGTGATTGTGAGGCCTCCCCAGCTACGTGGAACTGTGAGTCCATTAAACCTCTTTTTCTTTATAAATTTTCCAGTCTTGAACATGTCTTTATCAGCAGCATGAAAACAGACGAATACACTGTAACTCAAGGCAAAGCTCATTGAAGGCAGAGGGATTCCTAACGCTTAGAGCAGTACCAGGCACATGGTAGGCACTCCGTATTTGTTGAATAAATACAAATACAGATTCAACATTTATTTGTTGAATAAATAAGTGAACATTCCCATCTCTATTGAACAAGTAAAACACTAAAGTAATTTACTCAAGTTCACCTCTAAAGTGACAGAGCTGAGATCAAATAGTCCATAGACTCCCTGTGCTTTTCTGCCTATATTAGACCACCTGTGAATGTTTTAAGGTGATCTTAAGCCATCTAAAAAATATCATTTCTGATATGCCAGGAACCAACCAGAGATTTTATGAAAAAGATTACATATCTGAACTAACTGGGCTTATCATTGGAGAATATTTTCCCTAGTGGCTGCATTGGTTATCATTTCCTTGCCTCCAGTAGAAAACTAACAGGCAATGTTGTTGCTAAATACCTTTTGAGTCTTGTATGGGTGGATATGTCATATAAACAACAAATAATGGAGAATGAACCTGTATGACCAGAGGCTTGGTGTTGTAATGAAAATAAAACAACAAAATTGATCTGACCCTTAGTATTAGCATACACAATCATAATTCCATAGCTTAGTAATTAATTCACACAAATTACTGTGATTAGTATGACTCTTACAAGCCAAACACATTTTGAAAATGTCTCATCTAAATACATCTATTATCTATAAAATTCTCCACCACTGAAACAAATTCAAAATTGACTGTTTTCTACCTTATGAAAGAACATTTTAATTGTCACTATGATTTTACATACTCATGCTTGTGAGCCCTAGTTGTGCTGCTGTTATGTGAGGTCCTAAATAGTTCTCTTAAATTCTATGAACCTCAGATTCTTGTGTGTAAGAAAGAGGGTGAGGGGGACCCTCAAGGGACCCAGAAATGCTTTTTGTGCCAGTCAGCAAACTAGTGTCTCAGCTCCAAATCCATCCATCTTTACTGGCTCCGTGATCCTGGCACTGGGGCCTACAAACCATGCTTCCCTTTGCCAGTGCTGTTGGATCCTGCCAGTATGAAGTGCCAGAGGATGATTAGAACCCAGTGGAGGAGAGAAGGGCTTGCTCCTTCCTATTTGCCTGCTCTTCCTCTTAGCTTCATCTCAGCAATGACACACCCCAGAGTGGGCAGCCAGGCAGTGTCCTTAGAATTCTGGATCCTAGCCCAGTGGTTCCCTCTTAGGAGCTTCTAGATTCATTTCCCTTTGCTCCTCCTACTCCTAGGGTTCACAATTGCTTCCTGTAAGTATTACCTCTCTGATACCTTTGTGCACACTTTGTACCTTTTGAGATCTCCACCAACTCTCTACCCAATTTCCTGAATTAAACTCTGTCAATAGCCAGATTGTTTTTTTTGTTTTTTTTTCTGAGTGAATCCTGGCTGATATTCTCTTGTGGGTATCTTCTCTTTCTAAACTTTGATAATTCTTGGAAACCACAGTTTTCCATTTGAAAATAAAATCCAACTCGTATCTTCCCTGTCATAATTGAAACAATGAGGAACACTAGGGGCAGATAAGACCCTGTGTGGTCCAAGAGAACTGGGACTCATCCTCTTTTTAATCCTACCCATGGTTGGAATTGGTATTTTTACAAAGTGATATGATTATATGGTTTGGCTGTGTCCCCACTCACATCTCATCTTGAATTGTGGTTCTCATAATCCCCATGTGCCATGGGAGGAACCCAGTGGGAAGTGACTGGAGCATGGGTGTGGTTTCCCCCATGCTGTTCTCATGATAGTGAGAGAGTTCTCACTAGAGTTGATGGTTTTACATGTGTCTAGCATTTCCCCTGCTTGCATTCATTCTCTCTCTTGCCACCCTGTGAAGATGTACCTTCTGCCAGAATTGTAAGTTTCCTGAAGCCTCCTCAGCCAAGCAGAACTGTGAGTCAATTAAACATCTTTTCTTTATAAATTACCCAGTCTCAGGTATTTCTTCATAGCAATGTGACAATGGACTAATACAGTAAATTGGCACTGAGTGGGGTGGGGTGTTGGTATAAGGGTATTCAAAAATGTCG